GGGTCTACTAAATCTAAATAAAATGTGATTGGCCAATGTAGAAAATGTATAAATTTTAGGGATTCTTCATACAGTCACAAGAAATACGCTACAACAGTGGTCCCCCAACCTTTTTGGCACCAGGGACCGGTTTCGTGGAAGGCAATTTTTCCGCTGGCTGGGCGGGGGGCAGGGTGGTCCAGGAGATAATGCGAGCGATGGGGAGCGGCAGTGAAGTGTCCCCTTGCTCCCCTCCTGCTGTGCGGCCCAGTTCCTAACAGGCTGCGGACCACTAACGGTCCACGGCCTGGGAGTTGGGGAGCCCTGCTCTACAATGTGTCATTCCAGTTCCATGATTTTATAGAATCCTACCACTTTGATATGATTTGTTTCTCCATATCTTTGATGTTGGTGCTTCACCCTCCACCCCAAACCCTAAAACAAAAATTACACGTTTTTTTAGGAAATGAAAGAACACAATGAATTATTAAATGTTTTCATATGATTATATGGAACAATATAACTTCTTGTCCAAAGTAGGTGCTAATCCTCTGATGCTCTCAACTGTCAAGGTAATGTGATATCTATATGATATGAATTCAAAGTAGAAACGTAATAAATGGTAGCTATTAAAAGAAGGCCAAAATTTCAAGTGGTCTGACACTATGTCTTCTTCTGAAAGTGAGACATGATCCTAAGGATAAATTCAAACAAAAAGGGAATGAGGATATTGATCCCGACCAAAGGATGAAGTTTACACCTCAGCGTACATCATGACCAAACGAAATCAGGCAAATGAAATTCCAAGTCAGGAACTGTTCTTACACTTTTCAGTATGTCTTCCTTATAAAATGGAACACATAAATCATGAAGCAATGAGAATTACTAATATGGAAAAGAGGTACAGGAGCTTAAAAGAAAGGAAAATATGGCACATGGTTAATATGATAAAACAAAACTTATTTTAATAAACTGGAGCAAAGAAAATCTTACAAAAGACCACAAGGCAATGATGAATTACTTCTTATGATTACAAAGGGAAGTGGTCTTTCTGGATTATCTCAATTTGGAGCACTTGGAAGCAACAATGATATTTCTGTTCAGTGGTAAAGGTCTAAAAGGCTCATTATTTTTCTCTGAGTCAAAAATAAATACAGGAGGGTATAAGTCCATACAATATCTGTTATTTTCACCACCTGGACTATTTCAGTGTCTGCAGTAAAACTTAGATACCATTCTTTACATTTAAAACAGGAAAGAATTACAAGGCCATATAATAACTTATTTTTAAATAATAACTTCCAGAATGTTTGTCCTTCCTATTCTTATTTCATAGTTGTCTCCAAAATTACTATAAGATATTCTATAATTTATAAAGAAAGTAATAAAATAGCAACTGTAACTTAGATGATCGGGCAAAAGCCATTTAAATTCTCAAAACATGTGATTTATATTTGGCAGGAATGATATTCTTTACATTGGATTTTTTTTAACCCAACAGTAAATATTTTGGTAAAATAGATCTTCCATCTTCTTATAATTTGATGAAGTATCCCACAATTTTATGTTTGATGCTTATTTTTTTCACATACATTTATTTTTTTTTAACTGGGTCACAATTGGTACTCTGTGATATGGGGAAATAAAACACACTCTCATTTTGTCCTCTTAAATTCCCGCTTTATTCTTTCCTGTAACTGCCCTAGTTGAAACCCTTTTAATCCATCTATCCTTAGTTATTCTCATTGTGGATTCCTTCTTTTTCTCCTCTCAGAACTATTAACCACACTATTTCCCCAAGATTATGACAATATCTTACTACAGAAGTCACACTCCCAAATTTTTTTAGTGTGGGAGTTTGATGGCTTCATTCTTTTAAGTTTTTCCCCAAGTCACCATGAGGCAGCTTCTCAATAAGAACTCTATCTTTTACATGTAAATATGACACTACTGACCAATGACCAAGGAAGTAAAACTAACACGTATCAAGCAATTACTCTTTGCTATGGCACCCTGAAAAGCACTTCACATGCATTTTCTCCTTTAATCCTCAAAAACATTCTTTCAAATAAATGTTGCTTTGTACCCACTTTTGCTTTTTTAATGGACCAGTTGGGATAATGACAGATTGATTGATTTATCCAAGATCGCAAAGCAGATATGCAATGAAGCTGGACTGAAGCAGTCTGAGCCCAGAGGCCATCATAAGTAGGGTATGATCACCTAAAGCACATGTTCAGATACATGTGGCAAGAAAGGTCCCTCTGCTACCCCAAGTACGACGTCCAGTATGCTGTTATGTACGCCTCAAATCCTAAGCAAGTAAATATTACAGAATTATCCCATATTAAAGTAAAAAGGCCCTGAGAGAGCTACCTCTCTTTAAAATCTCAGCATAAGTAAGCTTATCTCAGAACCTTTCTCGCTGGTCTGAAGAAAGCAAGTTTTACCAGCCACTAGAGTTAAATAGGGTATTTCCCTGGTAGGAGAAATCTACCTTGTTGGCTATGTTGGAAGACTGTAGTTAAGAGTAAAGAGCTTCAAATCTTCAAGAACTTTAGGACACAAAGGAAAGACCTAGACAAACCATGTTTCTCACAAGCAAAGATACAGCCCATCAGACCACAGTTTTCAGAATGTTAATGTTCAACGTTTAGAAAGTTAACATATTAAGATGTGAGACAGGACAGATGCTTTCTGCTTTTAACCTAACAACTGATCTCTCTCTTCATCAGAGGCATCAAATAATATTAATAAAAAATACAAAAACTATGGGGTAGGGAGCAATCTGTGCTTTAATAAACAGTCCTTATTGAAGGTAGCAGTTTAAATTTAAACCATCATTAGTTTTGGAATAAAACAAGGAAGGAATTTCTCTTTTGGACATTAGTGGACAGTATCTAGTTAAACATAAAGCCAGAAAATAAAGTCTAAGCGGAATTTTCACCACTGTGCACCATTTTCACACTGTCTTAGTTCTGGGTATCGTATCTTTTCTGCTTCCATTAAAGGACAAGTTGGACACTCAAAGATTTCTCTGATGGCAGTAAACACAAGATATTGTCATTACAAATACACAATATACCTAATGCTAGACATATAATCTTCATAGGCATGAAACTGTATTTACCACTTTAAACTGTGTTTGCCCATTTTACACTCATATCACTACACAAGTCTTGGGGGTGGGCAGGTAAAGATTGTTGCTGAAATGATGAACAGGATCTTCAAATAGTTATTGGTTATGGGACTGTGGGCAAATCACTCCCTGAGTCTCAGTTTTCTCATGTCTAAAATGAGGCAGTTGGACTAACTGACCCTTAATGTGTCACATTAAGCCAAAGTCTAAGATGCTGTGGAGACACTTGCCCAAAGCAGACACAGAGGTCACACGGAAAGGTATCCATTTTTTAAAAAACGATTAATCAGAAATAGTTCTTTTAGAATACTCTTCATATCTAGGAATGGCATGGGTTAATAACAAAAAGATAGCTCAGTATAAGAAAAGTGTCATTACCTGTGCCAGATGAGGAGACAAATGAAGCAAGTAATAAATACCATATTGGAGGGACCAAAGGAGATGGGGGGAAACGCATGGGAGGAACAGGGATACTCAGGATGAGACAAAAGTTGGTTCACATCACTCCAGCATTATTCACAATAGCAAATACCTCAAAGTATTACTTGAGTATTAAGTGAAATAATAGTCATGTTCTGGCTAAAGTGCTCCATCTAGAAGTTTCAAACAAATTGTAGCTGATTCTATTTAACTAAATTGTTCAGTTGAAATTACAAAAGAGCTAACCTACTCAAGGTTCAAAAGACAAGGCTGGTTTATTTACTGAACCAAGCACAGATGCAGTCCATCAGACCACAGTTTTCAGAATAATGTTTAACATTTAGAAAGTTAACGTATTAAGATATAATTCCTTTCTTGCCATTTCCATTGCCACAAATACCCCCATTTTAACTGAAAAGCAGTCTTTTAAAATTTATATATGAAAAAAAACACTTGCTAAGAGAAACAGCTAAAGCCATAATTTCATTACTTAACAAAATGCTAATAAGCTATGAGAAACTCCATTCAGCAAATTAATAGAATTTCACTCAGATTTTCTTATCGCACATCTCAGTGTGAACATCTCCAGGAATCTTAATATCCAAGTGAAGCCTTTTGTTTTTAATTTTCAAAACTGAACACTTTTTATCATCAGTGTACAATTCACAAATGCATTTGACATACTTGAAAAAGGAATGAAAACAAGTGCCTTAACTTCTGTTTGACCCGTAAATGCATTTATGTATTCAACCGAACGGACTGCTTTTCCTTTCAACAAGTTAATAAAATCTGTGTTTCGACGAGTTTTTACAGAAAGTAACCTGTCTGATTAGTAAGTCACAGGCCAAATTTACCGGATTGGATTTTGGGAGACCCGGCTGGTAAACGGGCGATGCTACCAAAGGGCAGGTTTGCCATGTTGACAAAAGTTTTAGGCTGATGCATAACTTTAAAACACGTTCCAAGCTGATTTTAGAAACTAGAGGAGCCTGTCCCGGGTGCTCGGGAAAGTTCCAGCTACTCAGAAGCTGCGGCACCGGCGGTGGCACGCCGCCCAGACTAAAGGAGCGCTCCCAACGCGTCGCGTCCCGATTCCCCCGGCAAGGAGCCCGCGACAGAAGCCGGCTGCGCGGCGGAGCGGCAGCCGTGGTCCCGCGGCCTCGAGGCGCAGTCTCCGCGGGACCCCGGGGCGGGCTGGCCTCCTTCCGGCCGCCCGGCCGCGCGCACACCCACCTCGGGGCGCTGGGCCGCCTGCGGGCCATTCCCGACTCCCGCCCGCCCGGCCCGGCGCTGCTGGCAGCATCGCGGCTGCTGAAGCCCGGGCGCCTGGACAGGTGCCCGCCGAGCCCGGCCTCTCCCGGTCTGAGGTTCTCCGCGAGCTGGTCTCCGGGCCCCCGACCGTCCTCAGCCCGCTTCCCACCGCGGCGGCTGCGGCCGAGGTCCCGGAAACGCAGCCCCGGGGCGCGGGCCTCAGGGCGAGGGCTCGCCACGCTGGGCGCCCCGCGGAAGTGAAACTGCTCAAGGGCTTGCTCGGGCCTCCTTTTTAGGACGCTTTGGTTTCTCCTAACACTCTCTGGTCCTGTTCCCGCCTCATCTTTTCACTCAGGACATTTTTTGAGCTAGGCTACCTGTTCCTGTAGCCCTTCTTGTCCCATTCAAGGGCTTCCACAATGCTTCCACTTCCAGGAACAGGGATACCAGAAGTAGACACTTGCTGGAAAAGGGGACTAAGAGATATAGACATACAGATATGGATGTATCAGTAAAGGTATAAAGATGTAGGTGTAGATACATAGTTGGTTTTTTTGTTTGTTTGGAGGGTTTTTTGGGTTGGTTCACTGTTTGTTTCTGATATTGCATTTTGCCCAGAAATTTTAAGCTAGAGCCATAAATTATAAAATGATTTTTAAATTCTAAAAATTTATTTCCTATTCCTGCTCCAAGTCAGAAACGGGCCTAGTAAAAAAATAATAAGTTATGGATCTAAATAGGTCCTTTGTTTGTTTGCTTTAAAGACTGTGAAATACTCAAGAGTTTCCCCCAGAGCCTTAAAATAAATGTCCTTTGTTCTCTCAAGGATCTCTAAATTACTAATTTACGTTCTGATGTTAAAAATATTTTTGAAGATCAATTTGAAGTTTCGGTAATCGTTCACGCCTAAATGTCCCTCTCCCTCTTTTTAGAAAAAAAACCTAGGAGGGAGGCTTGTGTACCAATTATTTACCTCACAAAGTCTTTTTTAGAAAATCAACTGTCAAAGTATCAAAATGTTAAACTTTTCTTTCACATAACTGTACTTTTTTACATTTTATACCATAATGAAGTAAACTTGGAGAAATGTCAGCAAATTTTGAAAACTATTATAGGTATCTTTATCCGCTTTCCAATTGTTCCTTTAACCTCATTATTAACTTTAAGTTGATTTCCTGTATTTGAAATAATGGAGCAAAAGATATTATCTAATTTATGAAATAATATCATAGTGACAAGTTTACTGTCTTCTACAAATGCCTGTTTACCAACAGACCGCAGTACAATAAGGTAAAGACAGAAGGTTTGGATTGCAGGGTGCAACTCTTGGTCAAGAGTTCCAGGAATTCAGTTCTCAGGAAAGCATAAGTCTTCTTAAACCAATCCATTGGGGAGACTATGCCCTAAGTGATGTATCTTCTTCACAAAAGATACTGTGACAAAGATTTTTGTTTTGTTTTGGTTTGGTTTTTTTCGCGGTTGCGGCCTCTCCCGTTGCAGAGCACAGGCTCCAGACGCGCAGGCTCAGCGGCCATGGCTCACGGGCCCAGCCGCTCCACGGCATGTGGGATCTTCCTGGACCAGGGCACAAACCCGTGTCCCCTGCATTGGCAGGCGGACTCTCAACCACTGCGCCACCAGGGAAGCCCTGACAAAGATTTTGAGGAGAAAGTGATATACACATTCCAGCTCCCGCTCCCCTGTTAAGTGTCCACATCTTCAAAGGCATCCCAGTTTGTTCTACGGAAATACACAATGCTCATTCCCCCCCCCAGCACACAAAGATTTGCAAAGAAGGATAGTCTTTAGATAGCAAACTGTATCTGTCACATGTCTGAAGAACCCCGGACTGGAAGTCAGAAGGCTGCGGATGCCATCTTGACTCTCCACCTCACTATCTGGGCAACCGGGGCAATTCTCAATATTTCTGAGCCTTGCATAATCTCAGCTAAATGAGGAAATTGGAATAATTATATTCGAGTCTCTGCCAGCTATACAATTTTATGACGCTGTCTCCTCTAATACACATAGAAGACTTACAGTACATAGGATAATTAAGTATGTTTTCAGATGCTCACTTCCACAATTTATATCCATGTGATCCTGGTAAAATAAAAACAAAAATGTGTTTAAAATTATGGGCTGTTTTTTAAAACTACTTCATTGGTTAAGACTTTGTGCTAGAAAATCTTTAAAAATCTACTAGAGTTCAAAAATTATTCTAGGTTTGTTTTTGTTTCAGGTACGGAATGAGAACATAGCTCTTGTTCAAAAGTTATGAGGTAACAGCTTAGCCCCTTTACTTATTTGTTCACTCTTGTTTTATTAATATTGCTGTTAACAGCTACTCTGTTTTAAGTATTCTATGTGCCAAGCACTATGTAAGCGTTTCACAGTGTTCATGTCATTTGGTTCTCAAAACAATGTGGCTTTAACTATATTTTACAAATGAGGAATCTGGATTTTAAAAGTTTTAAGTGACAGAGCTGGAATTCAATCCCAGATCTGACCCTATAGCCTTCCCTCTTAGTTAGAAGCCTTCTCTTCCTTTTAAGGTCACATAAAGTTATTGCTAAAAATTACATGGACATCATAGGCAAGGTTATACATATACATATCAAAAAATTGCTTTTGTTTTCCTACTCACTTTCCCACAGAGCAAAAATCTCATAGAAATGAGCATCTATCTCCTTAAAAATAGGCATGAACCGTACTCATAATTCATTACAATATTGGCACTATTGGTTGAGACTATGTAGACATTGTTTTCACAAAGAAAAGAAAATGTGTGGAGATGACACACACAGAGGCCGTGACCTAAGTCTTACATGTATTCTAACTTTGCCTATGCATTTACAAAAAGATATTTTAGAAATGTTTTCACTCATTTTGGTCTTGTTTCTTAGTGTCAAACACAACTTTAGTCACGGTTGACTTTACTTTCCCCCTACTTTCTCCCCTAAGGAAATGATACTGTCTGAAATGCTGGGTTATCTCTTGGTTCACACTTGTTCTCAGGGAAGAGGCACTTAGTAATTCTCACACTGAGATGCTTTTTCAGACAGAATGCTACCAGCAGTGTGTAATAGCAGGTTTCTGATTTTTCCTCTATTATACAATGACAAAAAATGCTAGCCACAGTTGGTTTCTAGTTTCTCAATATATCAAACTCTTGGATCTATTGATTTTCTTCCCTTGCATTCTTTTCCTCTAGCAGCATACTGACAGCCTCAGTATTATTACTCTACTCGGTAGAAATTATAAGGGTCTCACACTGACGCTATGTTCCAATAACTGGATGTCTGAGGCTGTTTTGACGTTGCCCTGTTGCAGTTGCAGTGGCTGATTTCTTGTGCCCTTGCAGACTGGATGCTTTTGCTAATTCTGCTGGTTTTATTTCTACTTTTAGATTCTGGATCCCTTTAAAGAACAAAACAGGTTCTTTCCTAATGCAGCAAACTATTGTAAAAGTGAAAGAGTACTTTGCTTCTTCATGGCTATTTATTATTGGAGAATTTTCCTCTTGAAGGACATGTCCAGATCTTTAGACACTGAATTATATTATTCTTATAGAGTGTTATTATACATCTTATTTTCTAGTTCAAAACTAGACCAAATACTAGGAAGGTACGAAGGAATTTCTTAGCAATAATACTTTCTTTGTTGTTGTTGCTGGGAGGCTTTCTTCATTTTCTTATCCTTCCTCACATTTAACTGACTTCTTTCATACTAATCTAATTGTGTGATGGGCCCCCTAAAGATGTCCACATATGAATCCCCAGAACCTGTGTATTTATTACCTTACATTCCATGGAAGGTGGAATTAAGTTAAGGATATTGAGATGGGAAGAGTAGCCTGGATTACCCAGGTGAGCGAATGTAATTACACGAGCACTTATAAGATGGAAGCAGGAAAGTCAGAGAAGAGACAGGATGAGGAAGCAGAGATTGGAGTAATGTGCTTTGAATAACGTGAGGAAGGGGCCACAAGCCAAGGAATGTAGGTCTCCTCCAGAAGCTGGAAAAGACAAGGAAATAGATTCCCCTACAGAGACTCCAAAAGGAACCAGCTCTGCTGACGCCTGTCTTTAAGCCCAGTGAGACTGATTTTGAACTTCTGACCTCCCAAACTGTAGCATAATAAATTAGTGTTGTTTTAAGCTACTAAGTTTGTGGTAGTTTGTTAGAGTAGCAACAGAAAGCTGACACCAACCTACGGCGATAAATTGAGTGTTTGGAGACATTCATTAATAAGGAAAAAATTTTACATTCTTCTAAATGAACATATATTAAAGAATATACAATTCCCTTTAGCATTAATTTGCTAAGTCCCTATGGAATAATATTTCACTGTTAATTGGTGGATATGGTAGCTCTTTGATATGCCTTCCTGCAGGGCTGTTTGCATCATGTACTTCTTTCTTCTGTTGGTTGTGTAGATGTGCTGAATCTTCACTTTTCTGTTCAACTGAGGATGACTTGTGGAACTAATCAAGTTGTTTTCTGCTTGTACCATAGCTGATACCACCACACTCACTGCCGCCCATCCTCACCCCTGCCTGTGCTAACAAGTGAAAGTGAGTTTGCTGGAACGGAGCTTGATTACTGTATCTGAGTTTTAAGAAACAATACTATAAAATGTTTAAATGTAAAAAAATCTAAAATTCTCTATTTCTCTTTTTGCTTGTTTTGGCTTTCTTTGAGAACTCTGATAATTTGCTTCTGTGTTTACCCTATAATTATTGATTAGATAAGGTTTTCAGTCCCACTCCGTACCCTACTTATAATGTTTTTCTTAGCACCTAACTCACCACAGGTCTCTCAATAGCTGAACCTGTTAGCTTCAATCTACAGGATTGATAAAAGGAGACACTGCTCTTCACATTTTCATTATTCACTTATTTATTCATTTATTAAGTCATTCAAAGAGATTTTTGTAAGTGCTTATCATATCCAAGATAACAGTGCTGGACACTGGACATACATTGATGAAAAGATACAGCCCTTGCTTCCAAAAACTCTGCCTTCTAGATATTGTGCTTCAGTTTTTGTGGAGAGTTGTATCAGATAAAGTAATACTAAATGGTTCTATAGTAATTGAAAAATACCTCTGGACAACTGGATGGGTCAAGGATATTCTTGTAAGCAATGTGTTTATTGGGGCAGTTTCCGTTATAAATAAATCATAGTGAAGAAACATTGAATTTGGGAGTTTGGAACTAGAAGACAACAACAGGAAGTGGTTTGGAAGCAAATTTCAACAGGAAGAGAAGCAAAGATAATGTTTCAGCCAATGGTGTAACTAGCTATTAGTGTGCTTAGGGCAGGTTCTAATAATTGTGCCCCTTGACACCGTCCAAAAATTAGAAGAGCATATAGAAGGTATTTCCCACATCTACCACACAATTTCAAAAGGCAGTGAATAGCCTGTTAACAGTTTAGAAGAGAAGATAATGCAGACAGTTATTTGAGGGAAGTGAAGTAAGTTTCCTGCTGAAGTCCCTATCATCTTGGATTATGATGTGAAAAGCAAGTCATTGCAATCAATGTCTGAAACACTCATTCAGAGAAGAAAAAGCAGTTAACATAACTGACTCTACAAAGAGCTAAAAAGGGATATCAGAACAGAAAATGGTATTTTATGGTGAGAATTCTCACTAAAAAATTGAGTTTTCATTTTCCAAAAGCAAATAACAGAAATGTTGGTGCCATGAAACCAATACCAAGAGAATTGTAGGTCTTCTGAGAGTTCATTTTGCTCCTTTCCTGTGGCTAGTGCATTCCCCACCTCCCGAGAGACCAGCTGTGTGGTCCCAATTCGTCTTTTTAAGAGGACAGCCATGGAGGACTTCTGCCCTCATGAGTCATCTGAGATTTCAGGACAGAGGGCTCTCAATGTCACAGGCTCTACCTTCTCTTGCTAGACCTCAAGTAGAGTTCATGGATCCCAAGCCTTTCAGAATAGCTATGGGAAATCTCAGGCCATCATTATTGGGATCAATGAAAAATATTTCTTCATTAAGATCTCCTGGAATCAAAAACATCATGTATGCTTTTGAAGGAAAGAGAAGACATTATTAAGGGGTGATTTCTTTGTGACTCTAGGTCAAATATACATAGGAGAGGGATGTTTAAAACTATACTGAGAGAAGATAGATAAGAGCTTAAGTCACAGATATAGCTACCTCCCTGGAGGTTGCTTGAATAGCCACAGAAACAGAGGAAGTTAGGGGTATGATAAATTTGTCTAATGGCTAGAGATGTGAATGGGAGAGCACTTTGAAAAATTTTGCTGAGGGATCTAAGAACTATATTTAGTCTTGTGCCACTGCAAATATTTTGCATAAGTTTTCTTACAGTTGTTTCCTACTGAAAAAAAAATCTGCCTTTTATTTTGGAAATTACTGAAAGTAATATTGCAAGTAACTCAAATAGAAGAAAATAAATTTAAAAATTTAAGATTAAAAATAAAAGTTATTTTTCACTCTATAAATACATACTGAGCATCTTCTATGTGTATAATATTCTAATAACGATATATAAATGATGAACATTTCATATGCTAAAGTATATAATTCATAAAATTATCCTAATAGTATAATAATTAAGTTAACAAAAATTCAACTTAAAAATGAAAGATTTTTGTTTTATAGGCACAATGAATACTTGTCATGAAATAGCACTAAGGAATTTGAAAAAAAAGTGAATATTCAAAATAATTATGACGGATGATTATCCAGTCAGTCAGCAACTATATATTGAGTACCTACTATGTGTCATAATTTCTATTCTTAGAGTGTGTTCCATAAGACAAATAATAGAAATTGTAATAAAGTATAGAGTATTCCAACATTATAACAGAGGAAATATAATATTATTATAGAGCAGGCACTGGGTTATTTGGGATATTTAGAAGATTAGGGCATGCACAGGAAGGTTAGCTTAGCCTTACAGCGAGTAAAACTCTCCCTGAGGATCAATTATCCCCATGCCTGACCAATTTAAAATAATTAAAATATAATCTCAAAGGTAAGCTCAATTCAGGAAAAGGCAAGTGCTCCTTGGTGCACTGAAACTATTTTCACAAGTTAATTCCAACCTACACCAAAACAAACAAAAAATTATAATAGATCAGTAAAGCTACTGTACCATAGAGCTAAATATGTCACTTTTTTTCTAAATCTACTGTAACTTATTCATTATTATAATACCTTTAGCAAGTGGTAAATTTTTTTCAGTCTTCTCTTGAAACTCTGAATGAACTGGACAGGTACCAGCAGTGTCGATAGTTGCCCCTTTTATACCTTTCGTACTTAGTAAAATGGGATCTGATTTCAGTGACTAACTGGTAGAATGCAATTTATCTTGCCACCAAGTTCTTTTTTCATCAAAAATACTGCCTTAAAGAAGAAAGAGTGAAGCTACATATGAGGTAGGCGTGTTATTTTTTTTCACCCTTTGCAGAAGTACATATTACACAAGGGTATGGTGGTTCCCTCCCACACAAGAAAACCACTGAGAATGGTCTAGTAGGAGTCCCTTAGGATGCTTTCTATTCCCTGGAGGAGGCCTAGCTACCTAATTCCTATTCAGACACAAAGGGAGAAGAGATCCACTGTCTGATATGTGTCCCAGCGAACTAGAAATCACAATACAGATCAGTTGAAGACTTGTGGCCACTTTGTGACTCTGAAATAGGCTCATTAGTGACCTCACCTACGGTACAGATTAACCCTGATTTAACCATTACACCTGTTTGTCAGAAGCTAAAGGGGATTCCCTCCTTGGGCTTAAGAGTGGATTCGCCTATAAACCTGATTATATGATCTGACAGAATGGACTACACCTTCCTGTCCCCTGTGCTTATTCTCATTTTTACCATAACAACACTTATACAGTTTATTCTTACTGATTTTAATATAGCCTTCCTATAATAAAATGTAAGCCCCTCAAAGGATCTTATTCATTTTTCTATCCCCAGGGCTATCATAGTTCTAAGCATAGAATAGGTGACTGATAATATAAAAATTAATGTGTTTGCTGAATCAATTACTGTAAGAACTATTAGAAACACATAGTTGAACAAGAAGGGTCCCAGGTCTCAAAGAGCTTACAGCCTAATGAAGAAGGCAGATATGTAAATTAATGATAATTTAATTCACAAAGAAGTAAGCCCTAAATAATGGTGCAAACAAATTGTTTAAGCCCGAAATGGAAGAGGTGGTTAAATATCATTAGGGAGACTTCTGAGCAAAGTAAGTTTTGGGGTTTGGTGCAGTAAGATTGGGGTTTATTTCCACAGGCAGCTTATTTCCACAAAGAGATGAGAGAGGTACAATGAAGGAGCAGCTGTGAGTTATTTCTAAACTTTGGACTTTTATTACTTAAACAGCTTCACTGCTGGTAGCACGGTTTAAGGTTTTATCAGAAGTCATGTATCAGCCTGAACTCTTTTGTATGCACATGACAGAATCCCAGCCCAAATCAGGTTATGTAAAATGGGACATTTTAACAGATCATGTGACCAAACTGTGGGAAGAGGGGTGGTGTACCTGGGCCTTGCGGAAAACTGAAATAAGGGACTGTTCTCTCCCCTCTACTTCTTTTCTCTTATTGTAGAATAGCTGCCTCGAAATGTTGAAAACCTGCTCAGCTGAGGCAAAATGAGTAGGATTGAGAGTTGCTCTCTGGTATCAAGTTTGGAAAATCATGAGGCACAAATGTTCACAGCAGCATTATCCGTAAGAGTCAAAAAGTGGAAACAATCCAAATGTCCATCAACTGATGAATGGATTAGAAAAATATTCCATATACAATGGAATATTACCCTGCAATATAAAGAATGAAGTACTGATACATACTATAACAGGGAATCATTATGTCAAGTTAAGGAAGCCACTCGCCAAAGACCACATGCTGTTATCATTTATACGGTATCATTTATACCACATGCTGTTATCATTCTATTTATACGGAATGTCCAGAATAGGCAAGTCCTTAGAGACAAAAAGTAGATTAGTGATTGCCAAGGGGTTGGGGTTAGGGGCAGATGGAGAGTGAATGCTGAGCCCAGGGGTTTTTTTTCAGGGTGACGTAAATTATTCTAAAATTAGATATTGGAAGTGATTGTGGGACTCTGTGAATATACTAATAATGACTGGATTATACTCTTTAAAAGGGTGAATTTTATGGTATGTGAATTATATCTCAATAAACCTATTATAAAAAATTCATAAAGAAGGGCTTTAATTTAATTAAATTAATTCAAGACCTAAATTAATTCCAGAGCTAATCTTTGCAGTGAGGGAGGGAGGTGTGGAGCGTGCTGATGCAGCTTCCTGAGGTCAGATGCTTGAATCATCAACAATAGTTGGAGGAGGAGTTAGGATATGTTAAAAGAGGGTCACACAAATTCAGAGCACATGGTTGGATCAGAGAAAACCATTTCCCAGGAAAAGGTAGACATTATTCCCAGAAGGAGGAAAGAAGGGATGTGGGTAGATTAAAAAATAAATGTCTACTATAAAAGATCAGCTTGAAAAACCTAGTGACTTTAGCAGTTGGCCCAGTTACTGAAGGCGGTGGCATACACTTCTTAATTCTGTGGCACTCACCTCTCAACCTCTGGGAGTATGGGCTGAGGACAACTCACAACTGTGCTCTCTCCAGGAACTGCCCTTGGCAAAAAGAAGTCGCCTTGCTCAAGGTTACTCATCTTGCCTACAAGACAACCTGTATCCAGGAATACAATAGCTCCGGTGGAAGTTCAATGTGGAAGTGCAAGGGCTGGACTCCTTACCCAAGTGGGAAAACTTTGGAGGGTCATCTAGCATGAGAACTCCCCAAAGTATGGCCTGAGGTCTCTGCTGCAACTGCTTCTTTGTTCAGCTTCTTCCTTTGCCCAGTCGTACTTCCCTTACCACTTGCGTGTACTGTTCCTAAGACTATTTCTCAACAAACCTCGGGCATGTAAATATCACAATGTATTCCCCAGAGAACCTGTGACAGTTGGTACCAGGAATGGCCCTAGGAAGCAGACCTAAAAGTAGAATTTGGAGCTGGATCTCACTCCAGGCCTGAGGACATCATCACTGGCACCGAGAGCTCCTGGCCTGTGGTTTCAGTGTAATTGCTAATTTTTGTTTTCAGTGGTGAACTGGGACGGGATGCCAGTGGAAAGGATGAGTTGATGAGTACAATACCTCAGGCACAGGAGAGGTTTGGGAAAAACAGTAATGATAAGGACTGTGGAATTGGATAGCTGTAGAAAGAGCCATTGGTGCATTGAAAGAAGAAAACGAAGGCTGAGGCTGATTAATCACCAATATAAAACAAATTATGAAAGACAGAGGGCCTCCTAGGCAGCACATAAAGAATAAAGAGATTCTCATCTGCTGTACCTGAAGGTCAGAGAAGGCTTAGGATCAGGGCCAACGCTTGATTTTATGAGCAGCAGAACTCCAGAGAAGTTTGAATTCTCAATCCCAACAAGTCTGCTATGCCATGATCAGGGCTCGAATTGGGAAGGAATGGACCCTGAAATTTGAGATGCTGATAGCTGAGTCCCTGGGTTGATGCACCTAGAAAATTTTAATCTCTG